CGCTCCTGGCATCCCTAGGACACCGCAGCCCTCTTTTCCCAAGACTCCTTAGCTAAGGTGTGGACAGCCAGACCCATTGCACAACAGCAAACGCTGAATTACTAACAAGGACCACCAGGAAAGGAGCAAAATTCTTTGCAAAGTAGCCCAAAAGTGATCTGGAATCACTGTGCCCTCATGCCCAGAAGATCGCCTGTTTTGACAGCAAGAGCAGGAGAGAGCCTGATCCCCACGGCTCCCCGCTCCAAACACCTCCTGCCATGCCTGTGCTCGCCAAGGAAACAACCCCCACCCATGGAGAGCCTCCGGGTCTCCCACGGGTGCTGCCTCCCAGCCTCGGCTCCATCGACTCACCAGGAGCCTGGGCCAACACTTACCCCACGTTACAGCTGTAGGTTATTGTCGCCCCGAACCGGAGGTCGGTCTCGCTGTCGAAGCGGCCGTTCGGGATGTCCGGTGGACTGCACGACTTCCCTGGAAGGGCAAGTCATCAGCATGTTAGCTTTATCTGATGGCGTGATAGCGAAACACAGATTACGGTTGTCACAGTGACCATTTATCGGGCACTGAACTTCCCTCCCGAGCAAGCACCAGCATTCCCAGCAAAGATATGAGATCCACATTAACTTCCGAGGAACTGAAAGTCTAAACACAACTGAAAAGCAAATAAAAGCACAGACGGAGCTAAGGACAAATAAAAAAAGTGAAGGTTTATATGCATACTGAGAAAGGAAACTGGTAAACAGCTAAACAGGCTCAGGGTGGAGGTCTTGGTCCATAGGGAAAGGCAGTAGCGTGAAGGAGAAGGGGACAGGAGGGACTCGTTGACCACCTGAGGGCCAGTACAGGTGCGCTCCCATGGGGACAACTCTCCCACAGCCTTTTGCACACCGTATCTTGCTCCTGTGCCAACCTGTTACAGCATTTACACTATATCACCAGCTGGTAAAACAGGTAAGAAGGACAGAGATCATCTCCTGGAGACCACCGTTTCTAAGCAGAAAGGACAACCCCAGGCAGGCACGTGGGGTGAGTGCTTGTTCTCAGCTGTCCTAAAAACAGTGACCCAGGGAGATCCTTCTCAACTGGGCTGAACCACCAGTGGGGTCTGGGGTGCACCAGGGGACACGACCTCCCCCCGCCCCGATCCCAGGAGCCCGCGACGAGGGGAACCCACCAATGCAGAAGTCGGGGTTCTCCGACCAGGTGGAGTTGGAGAGGCAGGTGATGACGGGCATCTTGCCCCCGGCCATGGTGTACCCCGGGCGGCACCTGTATCTCAGCTGGGTTCCCACGGTGTAGGACTGCTGCAGGGGCGTGATGAGCTCCGCGAAGACAAACCTCTCCGGCTGCTGGCAGTCACCTGCGGGCAGTGGGGGGA